CGTTGCTGCAAATGGCATTATTTCACTGTTCTTTATGGCTGAGTGATACTCCTGGTATAAGCTTTAGACTTCAGGCTTTGCAAGCCCCTGATACAGTGTCATCAAGCTTGTTCTGCCTCTTTACTGTCATCATATTAAGTGCCCCTTGCACTAAGCAACATGTGTGCTGACCCACAGACTCTGGCTAAGTGTGTCCCATCTTATGCTGGACCATACCTGGTGCCTACCTGATCCAAGGATGTTCCATCACATAGCCTGTCCAACCAACACGTATCCAGTTAAGCCCAGTCCTGCCCCTGCTCTTTGTAGTAAAGTGTACTAAGTCTGAAGGGTTTTGGTTTCAGTGTTGCACTGAGAGTCAGCGAGCTGTGGCCTTAGTCAAACCCTGTGCTAGAGCCCTGTGAAAACCAGTGCTGATGTAGGGGTCCATCCGCTCAATCTGACCAGACTGAGGTGTGGCTTTAAATACACAAAGGGTCCCGGAATTCTACAGAGAGGTGGGCAGAAGCTGAGCAGCCTGTCTTCCTCTAGGGATCCCTTGTTCCTTCCCTTTCTTCATTCTGCTCCTTTCCTCACTAGTGAGAAATTTTGTGTCCTCAGAATTGAAGGAGTCAAAATGCATGAGCATCTGACTAATGTAAAATGCATAAACATGCGCGATATCTTATTATGGCCTAAGATTTGTTGCTAATAAGTGGCATTGAGATTTGCCTCCCTAGGAATGGGTATTAGGACTTCAAAGCTTTTAGGACGTGAGGTAAAGAATGTTTGCCGAGAGTCACTTGCACAAAGGGGTTTCTCCTTGTGGGAACCAGACTTTGTTCTTGTGGTTGCGGAAACAGAGCTTTCCACAACACAATAGGGTTTTCCTTTGAATGACGCTCTCATCTTTCCCCTGTCCTTCCTTCCCACCTCAACTATGCAGGAAAGAAGCTGGAACCTGGGACAATGGGAAGGTTTCATTGTTACTCACACTACTAAGAATGAAAAAGAAAAGTAGTCTGTAGAAGGAGCCAAGGCCAGTGAAATTGTTGGATTAGCCAAATGACTTTCATCTCTGCCTTAAGTCAATGAGAAATCAGGTAGCTTAGAAGTCTGTAGGACTTTGAGCTGGGGTAAAATTGATTTCATTCTTCTGAGAACAGCAACAACCATCCTGAAGTCCTGTCAGCCAAAAGCCGCATGTTCAGCCCTGGACTTGCTTTTACCAGGTGTGTGTGATTAAGGATAAGAATAGGTTTCCCAGGGTGATACAGAATCAGGAACACTGAGTCTCAACCTTGACTTGTATTCAGATTTCCTTGAAGCTTGCTTCCAGTTAAGCATGGCTCTCTTCTACCTCCTTTGCCACTTGCTTTATTTCATTTTTGGATCCATTCTGTCAGTGCCTGGCAGGCGTGAGCGCGTGAACCAAGAAGTAATGGTAGCAGCAGGAGATGAGTGGCACATTCGTCCTTCTCAGCTCTTACAGGCCCCTTACAGACACTGCTAATTGGTGTCTCTTTTCTACTGAGAGAAACCTAATGCTTCAGGGCACCACCACTAATTAATCGAATCAATTCAAGAGAAGAACCAATTTTGGCCTTTATGTTCCCAAGAAAAGAACAGGTTGATCTACATGTATTTGGAGTTATGTACAAAGTGTGAAAATCCTCGCAGGCTGCCTATGACAGAAGAGAACCTGATAAATCCGAACATTTCAGTTTATCCTCTAATGCAACTGGGCAGCAGCTCACTTACTACAAATAGCTAATTTGGGCCTACTTTCTATACAGCCAAAGTGACTGACCCTCTAGTTAATGTGAAAGATACTGAATATTGCCCACAGGTTCTATGAAGTTATTATGGGTGTGGAGGACTAATCCGCTTCCAAGCAATGTGGATTAACTACTGGCATTTTCACCCATGTGAGAGGCAAATCTCAGAATATAAGTTCAAACGATTGAGTTAGAAGGCCAGGCCCAGGCGGATGTTAAGGCTTGCAGGGCGGTGTCCCATCTCCCTCTTTTGTTCCTCATCTGCTCAGTGTATCCCAGGAACCACTGGTGCTCCAAAGCCCCTGTGCAGATCTTCCTCCCCTGCTCCATGCTTATTTCTCCGCACCATGCCCTTCCCACCAAGGATCTGCTTACTGAGCACATAATAATTACTCAGTACAGACAGGCAGCTTCATGTGTTACCCTCCTAGGGAAAAATGGCATAATTAGAATTACAGAACTCAGCACATGGAGTCTTCAGTGTGGAAATTCAGACACCAGCAACAGGCTGGTGGGAGAGACTCCTCTGGGGCAGAGGGCTCCTGAAGGCCCCAGAATCACAGCCCAGAGGTCACCCCTGAGAGGGATGGCGCCCCTGGACGTGGGTGGAAATTACTGACTCAAGTGGCCTCTTTGGTTTCAGCATGGAAGGATCCTACACTACAGCAACCCGTTCATCCTCTTCCTGTTCCTGTTGGCCTTCTCCACCGCTACGATCATGCAGTGCTTCCTGCTCAGCACCTTCTTCTCCAGGGCCAGCCTGGCCGCAGCCTGCAGCGGCGTCATCTACTTCACCCTCTACCTGCCGCACATCCTCTGCTTCGCCTGGCAGGACCGAATGACGGCCGGCCTGAAGATGGCTGTGGTGAGGGATCTTGGCTCACTCCTAACATAGGCTACACTCCACCTGAGGGGCAGGAGGCAGTCTGAACGGACTGGCTTGTGGATCCACTTTGCCTTTGGGCTAAAAGGGATACAAGATTTGAAGGCGCAGGTGCAAACGGGGGAGCAGTCTTCACCCTAAGCAACCCGATGGTTCCTCCTCACCAGACCCGTTTGATTGTCTTCCCTGGGATGGAACGGAAAGCCCGCTCAGCTCGTGGGCCCCTCGGTGTGTCCGTAAGAGGAGGAGAGCCACGCCCATTTCTCTCGGGTTTTCTTGCCTAGCTTTTGAGAAGGTTCGTTAGGGAGGAAGCTTGCCCTGTAACCGTTCTGTCCAAAAAGATGCTTCCATGAGCTAAGAAGCTTTGGCTTCTCTCCAAAAGGAACTTGAGTCGGGGCAGCTCTACAG